ACAGAATACAAGCATTAGAACTCAGTAGAACCTGTCAGAGCAGCAACAGAACCATCAGCAACACAACAACATGACAGAGCAACATTTTCACCCAGTAGAACATCTGCAGAACCTGCAGGAACCCACGGTTGTGTGTTGTGTTCTCACAGTGTTGTCAGTGTTTTCAGTGTTCTCAGAGGAGCCCCCTGGTGTCTGTCAGGTGCAGGTGCAGGTGCAGCAGCTCAGTGGGAGGAGATTTTCACTGAGCTAATGAGTGTCTGTGCTGCAGAGACTCTGTGATGATGCTACACAGAAACCTTTCAAACTGAAGTCACTGTTAGCTGGTCTGACAATAATCTGAAACAAAGTATTGATTTTAAAATGATTTTATTGATCTCATTTTTAAGAGATTGAAAGAAAACGATTTCATTGGTATAAAAAAGAATTTAATTTGTTAAAAAATATTTAATTGATTTAAAAATGATTTTACAAAACTATTTATCAATCATTTCATCCCAATTATTTTATTGATTTAAAAAATGATTTTTATTGATTGAAAATTAGTTTTTAAATAATTTTAAATTGCTTTTATTGATCTAAATATTCTTGGAAATTTAAAAAAAAAGTGATTTTTTGTTGATTTAAAAATTATTTTATGAATTTGAAAATTACTTTATATTGAGTAAAAAATAATTTCATTAATATAAAAAATGACGTTTACTGATTCGAAGATGAGTTTTTAATTGATTTAAATGATGAAAATGATTTATAAATTATTTTCATTTTCATTTATTGGAAAATTATTTTTAACAGTTCATTTAAAATGATTTCATTAACTTTATAAAAGCAACTTTAATTTATTTAAAATGATTTTATTGATTTCAAAATTATCATTAGCATGTAGCCACCTAGCCTCATATAATTAGCAGTTAGCCTGTCGCCACCTAGCCTCATATAATTAGCAGTTACCCTGTAGCCACCTAGCCTCATATAATTAGCAATTAGCATGTAGCCACCTGGTCTCATATAATTAGCAGTTTGCATGTAGCTACTAGCCTCATTTAATTAGCAGTTAGCATGTAGCCACCTAGACTAATATAATTAGCAGTTAGCATGTAACAACTTAGCGTGACATAATTAGCAGTTAGCCTGTAGCCACCTAGCCTTATATAATTAGCAGTTAGCATGTAGCACCAAGTCTCGTTTAATTAGCAGCTAGCATGTAGCCACCTAGCCTCATATACTTAGCAGTTAGCACGTAGCCACTTAGCCTCATATAATTAGCAGTTAGCATGTAGCCACCTAGCCTCATAAAATTAGCAGTTAGCAAGTAACCACCTAGCCTCATATAGTAGTTAGCATGTAGCCACCTAGCCCCATATAACTAGCAGTTTGCATATAGCAACTTACTGTCAGGCTCGTCACAGCTGTTGTAGTCGGGCGTGATTGCCAGATCCTCCTCTGAGCTGCTGAAGCTACCAATCACATGCATCTTCCCCATTCTCCACCCTCTCTCATTGGTCGTCTTCCTCTTGAGGGCAGAGCTAGGGTCGAGGTGCTGCCGAGGTAAGGGGCTGCGGCGGGGAGATGTGGGACTGACGTGATTGACTGTCCGGTCCACAGAGAACGACCTCTGACCTCCGACCAATCCCTGAAGCCGATTCTGACGAAGCGCTGCGAGGAAGAACATGAGGTAGACTGTTCTGTTCCCTGAACTAACAGGTCGATGGTTCTGTTCCTTGAACTAACATGTTGATGGTTCTGTTCCCTGAACTAACATGTCAATGGTTCTGTTCCCTGAACTAACAGGTCGTTGATTCTGTTCCCTGAACTAACAGGTCGTTGGTTCTGTTCCCTGAACTAAAAGGTTGATGGCTCTGTATTCGTACCTGTATGTCTCAGGGCCGGATGGCCGGGCTCGGCGGTTTCCAGGGAAGCGTCACTGTGACGCCGTTGGTGGCGGACCCTGCCGACCTGAGCTAACATCCTCATGGCCTCCTCACTCGGCTGCGGCTTCACTGGGTAACGAGCCAGGTTGGGGTCGCTACGGTAACGAGCTTGAAACTCCTCCTCCTCCTCCCGTCGCCGCCGCTCGCGCTCATCCTGAACCAGGTCCAGAGGATGGTCCTGAACCAGAAGAGGAAATGATGAGAACCAACACATACACTTCAGTTCTATAACTTTTTTTTTCTGATCTCAGGCTCAAATGTTTACCATGTACTTTGCAAAGTAACTAACAGCTCTTGGAAAATAGCTCTACAGCACTTTAATTTCTAATGTTTTACATTACTCCAACACTTTAACCCCCAATGTCTCTACATCTATTACTGTCATCTATCACAACTGATCACAACCACAACAAGAACCATGTACTGGACTCTGCACTGCTACAGGCTGACACACTATCCACACACCCCATACAGCCGCCTCTCCCCCGTCTGCTCGTTACCTGGTTGCACCCAGAAATACGGCATAAGGATATACATACTTAAGGCACTGGAGGCAATATGATGTGTGCAATACTTCTGTTATCTGTCGCTGGCCGACTCTATACTGCAACAATAAGACTGTTATGTGTTTTAATGTATCTCATACTGTAATTGTATATTCTATGTGTACTGTATTGATTTTATACTACCTTTTAGGAACTATGCTGATAAACATCTGGCAGGGGGACTACTAATATAAATCAGCCCCTGGCTGCAGTTGGGTGCATCTACATTTTCTTTTTTCTTTTCTTTAAAAGGAATGTGTATTGATGTACACTGTCCCTTCCTAAACAAATAAATGTTATTGTATTGTATAACTGTCTTAACAGACTCACCTGTGAGTGCCAGCGGCCACGCCCATCTCTGATTGGTTGCCTTCGGACCCGCAGCTCCTCCTCCCCATTACCATGGCAGCCGTGCGGCGAGCGAGTGCGGCGGACCAGACCGTGATCAGAGGGCGAGCGAGGCATCCTGCCCTCCCCACCATCATAATACGACCCCAAGGGGCTCGGCTTCCTGTCAATCACACGGAATGGACAAATCAGAGAGGAGGAGGAGGAAGTTTAGCTAACACATGCACGTGGTCACCATTCGCCAATAAAACGTGATTGTGGGTTCCTTCTTTCTGCGATGAGATACGATACAATACGATGCAATGCGATACGATACTGTGCAATGGGATACTATTATCCAATCTTTCACGTTCTCCTTATGTATACCATCATTTTTCATATCATACTATATGATGTTAATGTCATCATCGTCATCATCATCATCGTTATCATTATCATTGATCATCTGATTATGATTCTAAAGCTGATTCTAATTATTATTACTATTATTATCATCAGCATTAAAGCCACAACCAACGTATGTCAGATTGACCTGAAATTCAGCACACATGTTCAGGTGTTTTGACATCTCCTCATAATAATAATAAAACTTCTTCTAAATAAAATCACCATCGGTCGACACCTTTAACATGATGACATCACAACAGTGATCAAGAAACAATAATCAGTTGATAATCAATCATAGAATCATAAAGAAATAAGGGGTTCTTACAGTTTGTCTGTCGGCTGGTCGAAGCTTCACCTCCACACTCACACACACACACACATACACACACACACACACACACACATACTCAGCAGCTTTATGACTGTAATCTGGATCATAACTGAAGCCCCGCCCACTCTCACTCACCACTGGCTCCTCCCAAACAGGACATGACCTCATTGCTCCCCATCCCTGACTGTGTTATTAGCCTTTGTTAAGAGCCTGTGTGTTGTTAGCATGTGCTTTGTTAGCATGTGTGTCATTAGCTTGTGTGTTGTTAGCCTGTGTTTTGTTAGCATGTGTGTTGTTAGCCTGTGTGCTGTTAGCCTGTGTGTTGTTAGCATGTGTGCTGTTAGCCTGTGTGTTGTTAGCATGTGTTTTGTTAGCCTGTGTGCTGTTAACTTGTGTGCTGTTAGCCTGTGTGTTGTTAGCCTGTGTTGTTAGCTTGTGTGCTGTTAGCCTGTGTGTTGTTAGCCTGTATGCTGTTAGCCTGTGTGTTGTTAGCCTGTGTGCTGTTAGCCTGTGTGTTGTTAGCATGTGTTTTGTTAGCCTGTGTGCTGTTAGCCTGTGTGTTGTTAGCCTGTGTGCTGTTAGCCTATGTGTTGTTAGCCTGTGTGCTGTTAGCCTGTGTGTTGCTAGCCTGTGTGTTGTTAGCATGTGTTTTGTTAGCCTGTGTGCTGTAAGCCTGTGTGTTGTTAGCCTGTGTGTTGTTAGCCTGTGTGCTGTTAGCCTGTGTTGTTAGCATGTGTGCTGTTAGCCTGTGTGTTGTTAGCCTGTGTGTTGTTAATCTGTGTGCTGTTAGCCTGTGTGTTGTTAGCCTGTGTTGTTAGCATGTGTGTTGTTAGCCTGTGTGTTGTTAGCATGTGTCTTGTTAGCCTGTGTGTTGTTAGCCTGTGTGCTGTTAGTCTGTGTGTTGTTAGCCTGTGTGCTGTTAGCCTGTGTTGTTAGCATGTGTGTTGTTAGCCTGTGTGTTGTTAGCCTGTGTGTTGTTAGCCTGTGTGTTGTTAGCCTGTGTGCTGTTAGCCTGTGTGTTGTTAGCCTGTGTGCTGTTAGCCTGTGTGTTGTTAGCCTGTGTGCTGTTAGCCTGTGTGTTGTTAGCCTGTGTGTTGTTAGCCTGTGTGTTGTTAGCCTGTGTGTTGTTAGCCTGTGTGTTGTTAGCCTGTGTGTTGTTAGCCTGTGTGTTGTTAGCCTGTGTGTTGTTAGCCTGTGTGTTGTTAGCCTGTGTGTTGTTAGCCTGTGTGTTGTTAGCCTGTGTGTTGTTAGCCTGTGTGTTGTTAGCCTGTGTGTTGTTAGCCTGTGTGTTGTTAGCCTGTGTGTTGTTAGCCTGTGTGTTGTTAGCCTGTGTGTTGTTAGCCTGTGTGTTGTTAGCCTGTGTGTTGTTAGCCTGTGTGCTGTTAGCCTGTGTGTTGTTAGCCTGTGTGTTGTTAGCCTGTGTGCTGTTAGCCTGTGTGTTGTTAGCATGTGTGCTGTTAGCCTGTGTGCTGTTAGCCTGCGTGTTGTTAGCCTGCGTGTTGTTAGCCTGTGTGTTGTTAATCTGTGTGATGTTAGCCTGTGTGCTGTTAGCCTGTGTTGTTAGCATGTGTGCTGTTAGCCTGTGTGTTGTTAGCCTGTGTCTTGTTAGCCTGTGTCTTGTTAGCCTGTGTGCTGTTAGCCTGTGTGTTGTTAGCCTGTGTGCTGTTAGCCTATGTGTTGTTAGCCTGTGTGCTGTTAGCCTGTGTGTTGCTAGCCTGTGTGTTGTTAGCATGTGTTTTGTTAGCCTGTGTGCTGTAAGCCTGTGTGTTGTTAGCCTGTGTGTTGTTAGCCTGTGTGCTGTTAGCCTGTGTTGTTAGCATGTGTGCTGTTAGCCTGTGTGTTGTTAGCCTGTGTGTTGTTAATCTGTGTGCTGTTAGCCTGTGTGTTGTTAGCCTGTGTTGTTAGCATGTGTGTTGTTAGCCTGTGTGTTGTTAGCATGTGTCTTGTTAGCCTGTGTGTTGTTAGCCTGTGTGCTGTTAGTCTGTGTGTTGTTAGCCTGTGTGTTTTTAGCCTGTGTGTTGTTAATCTGTATGATGTTAGCTTGTGTGTTGTTAATCTGTGTGATGTTAGCCTGTGTGTTGTTAGCCTACGTGTTGTTAGCCTGTGTGTTATTAGCCTGCGTGTTGTTAGCCTGTGTGTGTAGCTGTGTCTAACAGTAGCAGCAGTAATCCTCTCTGAGCCGTTAATCTGATTACATCAGACACTCTGTCAGAAACAACAGAGCAAACTAATTAACCCTTCTTCTGACTGACTGGCCGTCATTCATTGTTAAGCCCCTCCCTTCTGATGGGAGTTCATCTGACCTGATGAGTCCCTGTAAAGGATCAGTTTGGTTTTGATGTGTCTGTGTCAATGAAGTTGCCTTCATTAAAATCCTAATGAAACTGAATATTCAATAATTGAACCAACTATTAGAACTTATTAGAATTTATTACTTAAACCAACTATTGGAACTGTATATTCATACTTTTAACCAACAGACAACAGGACTTCTTGGAAGAAGACCATGAGATGTGGCAACAAGATGGCTGCCCTCTGCAAGGGATCTACTGACCGCTCAGTGGCTCCGTTGCTCAGCAGCCCCGTGGCCCCTGGCGGCCCCTGTGTCGGTGTGTATGGAACCCCGTGTGAGCTGTGGCCGATGGATAGCAGCGACATGTTGGAGTGAAACTCCCCCGACCGTGTGAGGATCTCCTGCTTCTTCCTGCACACGTTACAAACCCACATCACCTGGAACAGGAAGTTACAAAAATAAACAGGAAGTAACGAAAATAAATATGTTAGGTGTTTCTCAAAGTCAAGAAAGGATCCTCAAACGGCCGAATTTGAAGGATGTTACGTCATCGACCCACCGAAAGACTGTTCCAAAGTCAAGGATGTGACTTTGAGAAACACCTGTTTTTTTCAGAAACTAACACCACCTGGAACAGGAAGTTACAAAAATAAACAGGAAGTAGCAAAAATAAACAGGAAGTTACAAAAATAAACAGGAAGTAACAAAAATAAACAGGAAGGGACCAAAATAACCCACCCACACTGACCTTACTGGCCCTCAGGGGGACGCGGCCCCCACAGCGGGCACAGAAGCGGCTCTGACAGTAGCAGCAGGCGTGGCCACAGCCGTTAGCAAACTTGGTCTTTCGACAGACGCCGCAGGTGGGAGACTCCGCCCTCGCTGTCTGAGCTGCTGGAGGTTCCTCCCCCAGCTTCTTCACCTGGTCCTTGTACATCTCAAACTGCTGATGCAACTTCCTGTGTGGGGGAGAGGGGGAGGAACAGGAAGTGCCTTTATTCTTTCACCTCTTATTTACTTGTACATAGTCATTATACATCCCTTCACGTGTTTATTTTTTCCCACAAACAGTTTTCTTAAATGTGGGTGGGGTTGTTGTTGAAATGTCCTAAAAATGACATTAAAATATCGGCAAATTGTTTAAAAAAAAAAAAAAAAAAAAAATTTAAAAAAAGTTGAAAAAAAAAAAGTCCAAAAATTATGAATAAAAGGTAGGAAAAAATGTTAATAAAATGTCCAATAAATATAAATAAATGTGCAAAAACTTTCTAATAATATATAAAAAAAATGTTCATGAAATTTCCAATAAATATGAATAAAACGTCTGAAAAATATCATTAAAATATCAAAAAAAAATTAATAAAATATACCCCAAAAAATCTTAAATTTAAGTGTGTGCTGATGGATTCACATCATCAACTCATGCATTGAGTAACATTACAAGTTAACGTTCCACCTTAAAAGTTGCCGGCAGTCGGCCCAGTGAATGAAGTTATTTTTTTCTCTTTCATTTTATAGTTGTAGTTTACTGATGTATGAACAGAGGTTACATAAAACCAGAGTGAGCGTCCTCTACTGACCAATCAGACTGCAGGGTTTCTAGCTCCACCTTTTAGTACCAGATCTGTGTGCTAGGTACCCCAACAGAGGGGGGACCAAACATGGGGA